GGGCGGTTTATGTAGCGTGCTAACACACGTAAAGTGACGTCAGATGATTTAATGCGCATGCTCGTGTGAATGAGCGCGGGCACATCTCTGTGGCCGTCCGGCCGCGATAGGCTACGCTGCGGCGGGATCGAGGACATGCTGCCTGATGAGGAGACAGAGCGCATGTCGTCATGCTCTCAGTCGCTGGCGGCGTTCCTAGTCCATCAATAATCTCATAGAGTTGCATTGTGTATCGTGGGCGACTTTACTGAATTAGAACCGTGTAGTGTTGTAAGTATCATACTATGCACACGCTCATTAAAATTACTCACGAACCCTGACCCAGAGCTTACTCTGCCGCGACTACATGATGCCCGCAGCAGAGAGAAGACAGACCGTCCCAACAAGAAAAGCCAAGGAGTAGAGGGAACGAGATTGTCCCAAAGGGAAAATGAGGGGCCTCTCTAAACGAAGGGGGAGTGGTGCCTTGATAACTGGAGATCATGAGGAAGTTTCCATGCTGCTGACTATCTGAAGGTGAGTTGGTGGACATATTGTCCGGGAAGAGGGATTGTTATCAGTACTGTTTGAAGTAAAACATCCTGAATTTTGCAGTCGCCAATTTTCTTCCAAAATCATAAGCAATTTGGAAATGCATAACCGCCTCGCCACTTTATTCAATATCTTGTCCAACATTGTTATTTGGCACATGCTGTGAATACACCCTCACATTACCATACAGCAAAGTGAGAATCACACATGACAGTACATAACCTGGCCACAGACGGATTCACCTGGGCGTGTGCTGCTCTCACTCACTCGGCCGTCGATCCTACTCAACTACGTACCGACAGACCAGTAAAATTCACACAGCGGCGTCAAAGCATCTACGCATCACTAAATACAGCGTATCACAGTCCGCGATACTCTATTTCCATGCACACTCACCTCGGCAACATCCGTTTCCACCGCTTCCCCGGCCTTCTCCCATCCAAATCTTATTTTACGCATGCGTGCCTCCTACTTCGCTAACATATTGTCCACGTTTACATGGCAAGAGTTGCCGCGGTTTTGCGCGAGAAACACGGTGGATAGACATAGACAGACACACAGCACACACAGAACACACAGACCGACTGCATACCTCGCTGCGCACGGAGGGTTAACAACATTTATCAGAAAACGTTGTTTAGTATAACTCACATCCGTGTTTACTAAGTGGCCTGCGTGTCCGTTAGCCACTGGGGCAACTTGTACATTTCACATCACACTCGTTCACAGGTCAGAGCACAGAACGATGGAAGCAGTTGGAGAGAGAGTAGTCGGTCAGAGTGGAGAGAGAGGGTGAGGCATGAAGGTGAAAAGAGGGAGGAGAAGGGAGTGCATCGAAAAGAGAATGGCAGAGATATCCTCCAAGCAGTTTCACGGTGGTCACCCACCGAGGACTGCAGTAGAAGGACACATTCGAGTGAGGTTATCGATGTGCCACGTCCCATCTTACTGGGTGTCAAGGGTGTCATAAATTAGATAGATATATCTGCAAATACAAAGGGAGGTTAATATTTCAAGCTCGTTGAGATATGTGCATGCACATGCTGCTATCCTTTCTTAGAAGCAATTTGAAAAGTACCCATACAATTTCTTTGCACCTGCATTATAGTACTACATCTAATATCAGGTTGGGCACTTAAATGAATACCACGCCACCCACGCTACCACTTGCTTCTATGATATGATAATAAATCAGGGTGGCCAGGATGTACACTCCAAAGAGTTTTGTGTGTTGATACATATATATAATATGTCCAGGTAAAACCACTGGGAAAGAGACCCCTAGGAAGATGAATACCTGGCAGCAGGAATACCGACATGTCAAATATCCTTGAACAGCTCTCACAACGATAGGCTCTGGCCTGGTAGAAATCCTCACCTCTTGGCTCAGTAGGGCGCTATAACTCTGTGTGTGTGCTTGAACTCAAAGCCGGATGTTGGGCACGGCACAATATAAGTAAGCCCCGGTTACGGGCATACCATGCGAAATGGAGGTGCGATGTCAGAGAGCGGGACAGGTACAAAAGAGTTACACCGAGGTGAACCCACCCCACTTTCTGAATGTCACTCGCATTTCTCTTGGCCTTACACCATCTCTTCTTCTCTCAATTCTCATTCTCATCTCCTTCTCTGACCCCCTTATCTCCTCCTCTCTCATGATAGTTGACCGTAAATATTAAGGGAATGTGGTAGTACATAAGTGGCTAATGTTTAGAAACATGTTATACTAAAGATGAACAAAACACTAGGGGCACATTGAAAGACCTGCAATCGACGTTCCCGTTTTTCTTGACATAATTTCAAGCCCTTCATGTACTGTCCACACTTCTTAACGCAGAGTCGGGCCAGGGGTGCATGCCCACTCCAGGTGCAATATTGTACCAGGTGGGAGGCATTGAGTTCGGACTGTTTCTAGCACGATTGCAGTTCTATTCATGTGTGTGTCACGGAGAGAGTGCTTCAGATGTGTTCCTGCTCTCTCCTCTTCCCTACCACACGCTTTCATCCACACCATTCCCACCCCTTTTCCCCCCTTTCTCCCTTCCTTCTACAGTCTTTAATCTCTCACTCGTGGTCTCTCTGTCATCTCTCTGTCTGAGCCTTCTCATTTCTCACCTCTATATATCTATAAATATTACCTCTCCCTCACTCATGTCTCTCCTCATATATGTATTATCTCGCAATATCTCTCCTCCCTGTATAGCAGGATCTCCGACAGTCATGGCGTGCTGTCAAAGCGATTACAGCTGAAGAGAGGCGAGATCAGTGAGTACAACTACGCAGCGTCAGCAGATGGCATCTTATGTTAGATCTAATATGACAACTCACTGTTCAAGACAGCGGTTCACAATACGTCGCAACTGCTTATCGTTATGTGAATCACGCAGTAATTCTGGCATGAAGAGTATGTTCTGTTGACTCATCTGATGACTGTGACATACAGTACATATTATTGCTGAACCAGCTTGCCAGAATCGGACCAATCGTCTCTACTCTGCATTTCTAGTCTCTTTCAACTCTCGCGTGATCTGCCTGCTTCCTTTTCGGGAAGGCCTTGTGTCTTTGCTTGTCCATATACTCTGTAAAATTGTTCAATTCGTGTGGAAAATCTTGATCTCGCATTGAACGAAAACATACATGTTTTTGTCACGCGAGGATAAGAAATCACAAATACGTCACTTCTAGTCAACGATAACTAATGCGTGTCATTAGTGTGGTCGTTATGATAGTCAGATTAGGGTGCTGTATGCTATTCGTCGTGGTCTCAGAGAGAGTGAGTACTCTAGTACCCGGTTGTGTTAGGACACGTGTACTCGGAGAGTGACAGACCTCTCCCCAGACATACTGAGACTACAGGTAGCTATCGATGTTTCCTGTTGTTGAGCACGAGTCATAAGTGAGGTATTAAAACGACACGCCAGACAATGCTTTTTAACAAAGGAAAAAATAGCTGCCCTGGGTGGGACTGGAACCCATGACACTCTGCTGTCTAGGCAGAGCGCTCTACCAACTGAGCTACTGGGGCAGAACACGTGATTAACAGCAGGCGCTCCTGCTGTGCTCATTCGTTCCCCCCTCCCTCTCCCACTGTTTGCCTCTGCTCCGTCTCCCCTCACAGAGTCTACCAGGTGTAGTGGTCCAGGAAGACTGTTGTCCTGTTGGTAATGATGGTGACTGCACCACTGAGTCTGGGGAGAAGTGGCTACTCGTTGGCTCTCACTCACTGCTCAACAGTCTAATGGTGAGTGAGGAGCCTGTGTCCACTGAACACACAGAGACTTGATGGTTACATACATGTACAGTGGAACCCCTTTGATCTGTGGAGGCAGGAGAAAGTGCCAACATTAGCGACGTATCATTATTTTAGGGGTGTCCTTATAGAAATCGATCCAACAATTCATCCACTCTGTCTTTTTCTGAATTGTACTCACCTTGATACACTTCTCCACTCATTTCAGGAGGGACTGCAGTGTGGGCATCCTAAAGAACGTGAACTGCTGTCAAATCTCAGAAAACTTTATTCTGTCGTCACCAAATCACTCCCCTCGTGACAATGACCACTTTTCCACCTGTTGCTTGCACATAGCACAAGTTTTATTCCCAAAAGACACCGTAACCTTATACTTACGTATACTTATGTGTATTGGCAAAAATAACACCAATACATAGTCTCAGGTACTCAGACCACTCGCATCATGTTGGAGTGACTGTTGCTTCCAGTGATCTTGTTTGCCATGGACCAAAAAGGTATATAGTGAGAATCGAGATGGGCGGGCATTGGGGGAAGAATGGGATGAAGCAAGCCTCGCCCTTAGTATTTCCTCTGATTTAAATTGTGTGGATGGCCAAGCATTCATAGTATTCTTGGTTGAGCCACATTGCATGATATCAAAGGCGGTGCTCTGATGTTTCTTCAGAGCATTCGTGAGTGTTTAGAGCAAGATGCCAGGGGCATCCTCATTACCATGGAGACGGTCCACTGATGTCATTCTGATAATGGTTAGTGTGTGTGTTATTATGTGTCAGAGTTTGTTGTTACTATTTTGGTCCATTATTACTTGCATTCTTTCTGCTTGTTGTATATTATTACTGCCGCAGTGTTTGAGGATTTACTCTCCCGTCATCCCTCATCACAGTGGGTCCTGGCGGGCTTCTCCCTCGGAGCCAACATTGGTGTCAGGTTCATTGGAGAGAGGGTCCACTGGAGGTCACACTTTCTCTGTGCCGTGTCAGTCTGCCAGGATTATGACCCCAACCAGTAAGACATCCCTACTCCTCCATGTCCTCTCTTCTCCTCTCTCTTCTACCTACTCCTGTGCTTTCATTCTTACTACATTCCCTAACTTATCTTCCTAAGTAGCTCTTTCTTACCTGCGTTGCTTCAATTCCCTGACTTCATCACTCCTTTTCCCATCTTTACTCAGCTACAAAGCTATCTTTATCTCTCATTTTGCAATAGAAATGTGGTGACGGTACATAAGGACTGTATTTTAGAAATGTGAACTGCTCATTAGGTCCCACAGTGAAAAGATTGCATGCAGTCAAGTATGTATGGCACCAATTGTATGGCATCTGTGTGGCCCTGAAAATGTAGTGAAGGATGTTGGCCTAAACCACACCAGGCCTGTATTATAAGCAGAAACCAGAAAAACATTTTCTGTCACTCATGAATATCATTACTGGAGCTGTGTAAAAACAAGTCTGGTGGTGTGGCCCTTGTGTGCCCATATTTGGTGCAGCTAGTAACCCAGACATTTACCACAATCAGGGCTCAGGAATGGAGTACAAATCTAACAGACAATCTTCTGCACCTTGTAGGAGTTCTGGGATGACAGAGACCAATGACATCACCATTACATCACAAGACACTCTGCAGAGCCTGCTCGCAAGGGTTGGGCTTACTGAACACATGGAGCTTTTTCAGGTTTGTATACAATTAGTTGACAGTAATCTCAGTAGCTCAGTTGGTAGAACCGTCTCTAGAACACAGAGTGCTCTGCCTTGCTCTGTATGAGTGATTCAGCCCAGCCAGCTGAGCTGCCTCAGTTGGTAGAGCCCTCTCTAGAACACAGAGTGCCCTGCCTTGCTCTGTATGAATGATTCAGCCAGCTGAGCTGCCTCAGTTGGTAGAGCCCTCTCTAGAACACAGAGTGCTCTGCCTTGCTCTGTACGAGTGATTCAGCCCAGCCAGCTGAGCTGCCTCAGTTGGTAGAGCCCTCTCTAGAACACAGAGTGCTCTGCCTTGCTCTGTACGAGTGATTCAGCCCAGCCAGCTGAACTGCCTCAGTTGGTAGAGCCCTCTCTAGCCTGGCTGTGTCTTAGTGATTCAGCCAACTGCCTCAACTGAATGTTTGTGACCACACGTTTTCCTCCACAGTCCAATGAAATAGATCTGGAAGCTCTGTTGTTGATGAGTGACAAAGACTTCTCAGAAATTGGTCTTCCACAGGTGAGTGGAGTTTCTAATGTGGCATGACACACCAGTAGTGGTGGAAGAACTCAGTACATGTTGATGTGTCACCTCCCTACACATACGTATGTTCAATGATCCGTCATTTCCTACATATCTACATACATTAGTAGGACCTGCCCACGTACATGTATGAGTGATACATCAGAGCTCACTCAAGACAAATTTCATGTCTTCTAATTCTTCTAGAATTAATTCTAAGTGACCGTAGCACCATTTCCTGCACTGCCCTTGCCACCCATGTGCATCAATTGGAGTCAGTTGGTTTGACAGCTCACCCTTGAAATCCACCCACATGCATTACAAAGCCCTCAAGCCCTCTCAGGAAGTAGTTAGGGCTAGACAATTGTCCTTTATAGAGTGGTGTTCTTTATTTGGAGTAGTCCTTTTTTCAGAGTTTCTGCTGTATAAACTGGCCACTAGCAGTTCAAACTATCTCCCCTGCAGGCTGCACAGACAACTCTGATGAACTCTCTGGGAAGAAGAACACCGTCTGCCGTGAGAGAAGAGGGCGTGGCCTCGTCCGCGGCCGATCAGGGAGACGGGAGGGGATTCCCCTCAGGCAGTCGACAGCAGGAAGACTCTTTATAGCGTGAGTCACCTCTTGACCTCTAGTGGGGGAGTGTTGTCACGGGATTGCGTGATTTATGTTAAATGTGTTAGCTTGCGAATGCATTGATTTTAGTATACCTGTAATTTACCAACCATCATTAATTTCTACCTCTCTCCGACCCTGTCTTCCCCATACACAGGACTGCCCTCCATCTCCTAAGATGAGGTGTTTGACAAGGCTGTCTGAGTGTGGCTAACAATCTTCTTCCTCTCCTCTCTCTCCTTCTCTCTCTCTCTCTCTCTCTCTCTGTCTCCTCAACACACCATTTGCTGTACTATGATTCAAGCTCTAGCCACTAGTTAAGTCAGCACGCCTCAGCTGGTAATAGAGTAACACTCACGCACACACACTGTTGAAATTACAGACACAAATTATATGTGTGTCCCTCTCTGTAATGATATTTGCTAATGAGACACAAGTTCATTCATCAATGGAAATACAATTTAGAGGCCCTGAGATGTAGCTGTCTGACACTTGTAAGTAAATGCAGTGATTACGGGTATGTGTTGAGTGATCATAATATGCCAGCTTAGTGCAAAACACAAGATAGTAAAGCAGATAATACACACGAAAGCTGTGTGGATGGATGTGTATAATGGCGACCTTGTTCCTAGGCTTTTGAAAGAGTTAAGTCAGCACGCCTCAGCTGGGGCATAGAGTAACACTCACGACACACACACTGTTGAAGATACCGACACAAGATTAGTATGTGTGTCCCTCTCTGTAATGATATTGCTATTTGAGACGCAGTTCATTCATCAATGCGAATACACGATTGGGCCCTGCGATGTAGCTGTCTGACACTACTAGTAGCTGCAGTGATTTGCGGTATGTGTTGAGTGATCGTACGTCATGCCAGATTCGTGCAAAACACAGCATAGTAAATGCGATAATAACACACACGAGCGCTGTGGGAATGGATGTGTATCATGGCGACCTGTTCCTATGACTTATTGAAAGACATCGCTTTGACTGAGAGCACGTTGTACCAGTGCAGCTTTGAGCCTATGTACATACATCACTATGGGACCTGTTTTGTGTCAATGAGAGTGACTCAGACAAGATTGGGTCCCTGACTATGACAGTCTATAGGCATGTGGCTGATTCCTGCATGCAACTCCAGCACTATACTGCATACACAGCTCCTGGTGGTGGAATGCATGTGGACAGCCACAGCATGTAATGAATATCGTATTCGTGCCTTTGCACATCACAACAATAATTATTTCAAAAGTGACTGCAGTATACAAAACACAGAGATGAGAAGAAAGTGAGTGCGGTATAGAGATGAGAAGAAAGTGGTGTGTGGTATAGAGATGAGAAGTTGTGGTTACAATTTTGCGGCCTGGACTTTGTCAGCGAGAGCAAAAAGTTTGGTGTCTCTGAGAGCCTTGACCAGAGTCTCCCACGTCACGGGAAGTCCCTTTCCTCTGAGCCACTCCCCCAGAATGCTGCGAGAAATCCTCTTTGGATTCCCGCGGTGTTCGTCCTCGATGATGTTCACTTTATCCCCCGTCTCGTCATTGAGGAGGAAGATTCCAAATGTGGTGTAGCTTGTGGCAATTCCCTCGGGGATTTCCAGACGAAGTAGCTCTGGCAGAGTGGGTCGACAGACTACATCACCTGCGAAGAAAGTGTGAAAGAGAGAGAGAGAGCAACAACTAAAGGTAAGAGTCAGTAAATACATTAGGGGTATAGATGCATACACACATCATGTGGTGGTAGGGAAGACTGTTTCTAAACGAGGCTCACCAGGAGTGGTGCTAGCAGTGGAGGAGAGAGGGATAGCAGCTGTGGCAGTAGTGGAGGAGGTGGAGGAACACTCGATGACTGAGTATAGAGAGAGACAGAAGGCCAAAAAAAAACAGTCAGCAATGCTCTCGAAGAGGGGACTCACCAGGACTGGAGGAGACAGGATGAGGAGCTGTGGAGACACTGGCAGTAGTGGAGGAGGTAGAGACAGATTGGCTGACTGTAGAGAGTAAAGTGTATGTGATAGCAGCAGTAAAGCATAAAGGCTTGAATTTCATACAAAGAGTGAGGACTCACCAGGAGTGTTGGTAGTGGTAGTGGAGACAGGAGGAGAGGACAGGGAGAGAGAGGGAACAGAGGCAGTAGTGGAGGAGACTATGAAACACTCTGACACTGTAGAGGAACATGAATGAAAGAATGAGTATCAAAATAGGGCACACAGAGATGCAAGGACTCACCAGGAATGTTGGTAGTAGTGGTGGCAGTGGTAGAGGAGGCAGGAGCTGTGGAGACAGAGAGGGGAGGCTGGGGAGTGGGGGGAACTGCAGAAGATGAAGAGGAGAGAGAGGACGTGGCTGACTCAGCAGCTGTAGGGGGAAAGGAAAGAGAAAACCACAATGAGACTATTTCAATTAGAGCCCTCAGTGGGTGGACCTCCACACTCACAGGTAGACGTGCAGAGGGTCAGCCATGGAATAGAGTCCTCGTCAACGTCTCCAAACTTTTCAGAGTCAATTGAGCATGTCCACACTCTGTCCTTGTCAACAGTGGCAGGGTGGGGTTTGGCTGGGCGGGGGTGGGCGGGGCATACGATGGCTGGGACTGGAGTGTTGTTTGTGTAGCCGATGGTCTTCCCTGCTTTCTTGAGACCTGCAAACACTGCGTCGTGTGCCAGTTTCCACAGCTGAGCTGCCTTTTTGGGGTGGGTGCATAGATGAAGTTCAAAGTGGGTGAAGTGATCGATGAGCGAAACGGCGCCTGCGTAATCTGAAACGGTGAACTTGATGACGTTGCGATGGAGGCATTTCGGAGCTCCTTCCTTCTTCTGAGCCACTCTCCACGGGCAGGGGTGACTGTTTTCGGGGGACAGGAGGTAAGCTACAGTGGAGCAGAACGTTCCCATCAGGGGACTGCTGTCGGGGAAGTGAAGAGCCAGGGCTTTCCTGCCACTCACTCGGTGTTCCTCCACCACCTCCCACGCCACCACTTGCAGCAGACACGGCATGAAGTACACGTCCTCCGACATCTCCGCAAACACCAGCAACCCCTTTAGCAGGGTCACCAGCTCCTTGGGTGTGAACAGAGGTGGCTCGTAGTGGCTCTCGAACTCGCCCAGAAACTTTTCCGTCACTTCGCCGTGGTCACGGAACCTCAGCTTCTCCCCCGGCACGGCTTGGCCCTTCTTTCCCTGCCTCATGTGGTAGGTCTCCTCCACCAGCTCCGAGACCTTATCCAGCAACATCTGTGGCTCCATGAACACAAGCTGGGGCAGGATGTCGGGGAAGTAGAACAGCATGTTCAGACCGTCAAAGAAGTTCAGGGCTTCCCCACACGACTCGCCATCCATCTCCATCGACTCTGCCACCTTCTGGCACAGCTCTCGAGGCAGCACCTTCTTCCCCCGTTCATTTGCCACCTCCAGCAGCTTCTGGTACAGAGCGTACCATCGCAACGGCACTTTCACCTCCCTTCCCCCCTGCCCCTCCTTACTAAGACACTCCCGAATGCTCTCCGCACACTCCCTGTCCTCCTTTTCCGGCTTTGCCGCATTCAGTGTGAAGACAAAGTCGTCCTGTTTCGTATCGCAGTAGATGAGCTGCTCCCTGAACTGAGGCAAGAGGATCTCCCTCAGCCTCTTGTGCAGAGTGTCCAGCACTCCGGGCAGCTGCTTTTCTGCCACCAAGTCTCGGTGGGTGGCAAGAAACATCATTTTGGTGGGAGGGATGTCGGGGTTCTTGTTGTTCAGGGACCTCATGGTACGCACACACAGTCTCAGGGTCCCTTCGTTGGTCAGGTAGGCTGGGTACTCCCACACTAGCTTGCCGTCTTTGAAGTAACGGATCGTCGCTCGCTTGTCAAGAGACTCGTGGAGCTTCAAGACGTATACGAATTTGGACGCGCCCCTCAGGAAGACGGGCATCATCTCCAGAAGCTCGGGCTGGCCGCCAGAGTCCAGCACGAGGAACTGCTTCAGTCGCAGGATGGGCTCCAGGGAGGGAGGAGCACTGTTGATGAGATGTACAAACCCCTCGTCCACCGAACTCGACAGCAGCATGGAATCCAGCCTCACTTCTGCCTCCTGCCGCTCCCTGGCGCTGGGCTTCTCCTCCGAGGATGCTGTGATCTTCCCGGCTGCTTCAGACGTGGAGCTACTCGTCTTCCCTGGAGTTGGCTGAGCTGACTGGCTGGCTGCGGTGTGGGGAGACTGCTGGCCAGGGAGGCTGGGGCACCACTGCTCTGTGCCACTGACTGCTGCCGTAGCATTCGCGACCGAATTACTTCAGCGATGGAGTCTGGCAGTTGGTCTAATGTTCGTTTCTTCCACTGTTTTTTGCCGTCAACGTCCACGAACACGACCTCGATGGGTCTTTTCATGACTGGAGTGCTGTGTCGGATGGTGGGAGGGTCCACTCCGAGCAGTGCAGCGAGGGAGCACGTCTTGCCACTGCCAGCCGTGCCAAACAGCAGCATTTTGTCCAGGTCCAGCTCAATGTGGCCTCGTTTCATCTCCTGCTCGTAGATCTGTTTGGAGCGGAATCTTCCTGCACGGGAGTAAAGTGTACATGTTGAAGGGAGTGTCAACCAACCAAGAAAGTCCACTGCACCAGTGGGGAACAGCTGCTGCAGGTGATCCAATGCTCTGAGACAACTGCCGTCATCCTCGTCCTGCTCAGTCATGTAGAGAGCCCATGCCACAAGAGTCCAGGATGGTGCTGGATGTGAGGAGATGAAGGAGAGAATGAGGGCCTGTTTGCACTCTCTGTCACTGGTACACTGTGCCTCGATCCTGTCCAACTCAGAGTCTGGTATGTTGGCATATCTACCAAACTCCCTCCACAGAGCGTCACTCATGATGTCTAGAACTGTGGAGAGGCTCTCTGGGGTGAGACTGGCCTCTGGGAACACAACAGGAGAGAGAAATTCTTGTGTAACAAGCTGCTGGTTGCTGACAACGCCAGGCAAGTCTTTGTGCTTCATGCAAGTAACGATTGCTACCATAACACACTAAACTGGGGTGTAACGTTAACGAACGGCGTTCCGTATCGTACGCATACCGTTCCGTTCCGTATATATATATATACATACCGTGCGCGAAGTCGAAGTGCCGCTTATTTCCTCGAAGAAAGCCAGCCTCGCTGGCGCGCCTTCCGTTTTCCGGTCGCGTTTTCGTTCTCTACACCGCCTTTCGTTCTCGAGGCCGCCTCCTTACGACAAGGAGAAGCCCTGGGACGCGTTTTTCAAAAGTGGGCGTAACCCCAGATCGCTAAAGAACTCGAACGCTAATCGCTGCCGTCGACGGCAGTCAAGGCGCATAAACGACTCGGACCGCGTTGGACGGGACAGTCGGGGCATATAAACGAAACGATACACGAGGCAAAACAATATAGAGCCGCGGAAAACGGCAAACGGAACGGGACTGCACGATTCATACTGAAGGTCAAAGGTCATCGTGACCACGGGAGAACACAGCTGTTGCTAGGGACGGCGAGGTTATGACGACACAGCGGACTGACCTGGTGAGACTGGCAGGAACTCCTTCACTGCCTGTAATGCCCTCTCCTCCTCCCTGTAGTACAGTGCTCCTGCAACTCTCTCCCAGGAGGCCATCGGGACATTGTGGAGGAAGTAGAGTAGGACCTTTGTTTTCTTCTCCTCCTCTGTCAGGGCAGCATCCTTCCTGATCTCATCCAGCACAGGACTAGGAACACCAAGACCATAGTAATAGTCCCCCAGACGATGCCAGTCCTGGACTGAAGAGGTGACGTGACGGAGGTTGTTGATAGTGAGTGTGGGGTCTGCACAGAGAGTAGGACATAACATGGCAATACACACATCAGTAACCAGGTCAGATACATCGTTTCCAAGACGACCACAACAACAAATAGCCTCAGGCACTTTTCTTTTCCTCACCTGTGACAGACTCCGCCAGATGTCGTATCTTATCTGCAGCCTCTTTCCCTCCAAACTGTTTCATCTGATCAAGAACAACAATAACTCGTCTCCAGGAGGCTAGTGGGTCGTGGTCCATGAAGTAGGTGACATATTTCTCCACCTGTCGTCCCTCATCTCCTCTGAACTGACTCTTAATTTCCTTCAGTCTCCAGTCAGGGACACCCAAATAGAGCCCCAGATAATAAGTATCCCTCACGTTCCTGACAGCTCTCTGGACATTGTTTCTGGTGAACATCATATCTACACACCAGAGACAACCACACGACATTTAACCCTCTCTCTTTAACCCCTCAACTACTATGCTATCAAATTAACCCCTTGCCCACTGCAACACAGCAAAACCAAATTTAACCCCTTTCTCACGAAACAATTCTGTGGGCGGAAATTGTAGTTTTTGCACTTCCTTATTTGTTTATGGGTATTTTTAGTTCAGAACCTATCTACTAAAAATAGTAGAAAGAAGTAGAGAATGGAATCAGCTCACATTTTTTGCCGTGAGGCGAGGGGCGAGGGGAGGCCATGGCTGGAGGAGCTAGTGACCGTCAGTTCTGGCCACTCTCTCCGACTACCGACTCTCTCTCGCTACCTGACTACAGCCTACACTTTCTTGGAAGAGACGACACTGCAACTAGCTACGTTACTGCTCGCCCTCAGCTCTGGAAACACTCTACGACCTACACTGCGACAACACTCACAGCGTGCACTTTACTGTTAGAGACGACGGCCGACTACATTACTGGCCTCGGGTGACTGGCTAAACAACAAAATCTCCTTTCTTTTCTGCTCGAAAGCAGCACAACTCGCGCAGCTGCCAAAAAATACAAAAATGGAGTTGTCAAGGAAGAAGGGCGGTTTATGTAGCGTTGCTAAACACGTAAAGTGACGTCAGATGATTTAATGCGCATGCTCGTGTGAATGAGCGCGGGCATCTATGTGGCCGGCCGGCCGGCTAGGCTAGCTGCGGCGGGGATCGAGGAAGCTGCATGGATGAGGAGGAAGAGGATGTCGTCATGCTCTCGTCGCTGGCG